CGGGGGGGTGAAAGAGTGACTAGGGCGTACACGGTAGAGGTGCAGACCGCTAGTGTCTTTTATGCGCAGAGTCTTATCCTCTTGCTCTTTGAGCCTTGAAGCAGTCAAGCATGGACACACTATATCAGCTGTTGGAGTGGAACCCTGTACAGGTAGGCTCTACTTTTCAGCAGGCACAAGATTCATGTCCACTTCTAGCTGATTGCGTATGTCGCATACTCTTTTTCTACTGCAAGGCTAAAACAGTCCAGCTAGCTCTGACAACTTAAAAGAAAACTACGGTGCCATGTACTTACCTAATCCAGTGTGTTTCACACTTTGGAGAAGGTAATCTCATAGCTACTAAATACAGTGAGGGAGCAATAGCTGACTCACCTCAAGTACAAAATCAAAACGATAATGTACCTCGGCTGGAGACTGTACTTTTCGCAGGCGGAGATACCATGTACCGGCGCTCACTAGCTCTTTATGGCCTGAGCTAAATCAAACTAAAAAGGGAAAGCGGCTTTTTCTCTACAGAGACCTATAAAAGAATCAAACGACACTCGCGTAACAAAGAACTAAAAATTCAAGACCGCACAAATTGCAATGAATTAAGATGCCTTGCAAAATGCAAGGAGCGTACGGTCCGAGGAATAATCTTCTCGTGACGTGGTCTCGACCGCTTTCATTCACAGACAAAATAAACTGCATCAAAAGGACTCTCTTTCACATTCACATCAAAAACACAAGAAGGAGATACCGGCAAATGTATGTACAAAACTTGCACTACAAATGCAGACTTATGAAATGACTTAATCATCAACCATGAATGGTTGTCCATTAGAGGTCATCTCAGAAAAAGCGGCTGTGATAGATATCATCAGTTATGCAAAACTGTCCATACCTATCTGCATGCTAAAGCGTATAAACCTGGAATGCAGGAGTATCTTCTTTGATAAAAAGTTTCTCCTCATTGCAAACCAGAATTTATTAAAACTTCAGCCTGGCAACTTAAAGTCAAGCCTGGAAGCAAAGTATCAACTGTAACCAGAAGTATCTTCACTTCCTAGCCATCATTTAAATTTCAGCCTTCGCTCAGGAATTATGCCGCTGCAAACGATGAAGTTGCTTGATCAGAAGTTGGCGGCCTTCCTTTCCTTTTATTCTGCTTTTGTCTCTCCTTCCTCCGCAAGTTCGCCTCATGAAGAGTTGGTCCCATGCGATACTGTTTTCTGTCTCCAGATGAAAAGGAAGCTGGTCTGAGTGAAATAAACATTGGACCATGACTGTCCTCGTCAGTGGGCCTTGAGCACATAACCTCCGTGTCAATCATAGCAAAGTTCTCTGAAAAATTACAGATGAACTCCTTCGTGCTCACTGTGGAATTTTCATATTCCTCTTCACTCATTGAATGACCCCATTCAACAATGGTAGACAAACATGTATCGCCAAGCTGTGATCCTTGGTATTATTCTTTTTCAACAGTAGAATATTCTTCCCAGAGTTTGTCAAAGTAATCTTCACACTTCTTGAGGACCTGTGAAGTTGAACTGTAAAAAGTTCTGGGAATAGGTGCTTTGATACCAGGATCTGCTTTTACACGGGCTTCTGAAAACCTGCGGATCCAATGCTGCATGGTGCTGTAATAGTAGTTAGCCATTGGCTGCCTTTTGTACCCAGACATTCTGTAGGCCAAACTATTTGCATCACCAGAAATGATGTCCACCTCATAGACAAAACACTCGTAAAGCATCAATGCTGTCTGTTCTCCTGTCAGTAGGTGGGCATCCACAGCACGGTGTGTATCAACATGATAATTACAGACTCTGATGGTA